CCAGCCCCAACCCCCACTAGTAAGTCAAGGCCTTCAAGTCAGGAGCCTAGTGTGGCTCTTGGCAAGGGCAGCCAGGAGGGGCAAATCTCAACTAGCTGGGGAAACCTTATTTCAATGGTTCTTAAGAGTCACCCCTTCCCCAGGCCAGAGAGGTCCCAAGGGATAGCCCTAAGGGCAGCTCCGGAGAGCCCTAGAGAGCCCAGCACTTTCACAGCCCTGGAGAACAGGGAGTCTGGTTCTTCCCCTGAAGGGGCCATCCCCAGTCTCAGGGACAGGCAGGGCTCCCTATCTGTGATGGACACAGGGGCAGACATGAGGAGCCTGGCTGAGGCTGGATGTCAGCCACAGCAGAGAAGCACCGAGACTAAGGAGGCTGCAGTGCCCAGGGCCCCCTCTCCACTGTCTGAGCAGAGGAGGCCTGGCCCTATACCCTCCCCCATTGCCAGGCGGGACCCACAGCCTGTTCCCAGGCCACGGAAACGCAGCCTGTGTGAAATAGTGGAGAGCTCAGAGCGGAAGGTCAGCCAGGTGGCCCCAGGAGAGGCGCCAGGAGAGAGGCCCATCCCTGCAGGAAGCAGGGAGGTCCTCACAGAGAAGCAGAAAGAGGCCCGAAAACTCATGGTGTTTCTGCAGAGGCCTGGGAGCTGGGGGGTGGTGGAGGGGCTCCGGAAGCCCAGCTCCCCTGCCCGGGAGCAGGCCTTGGCAGCAGCTCTGCAGCGGCGGCTAGACCTGGGCAGCTGCCTGGATGTTCTGGCCTTTGCCCAGCAGCATGGGCAGTCTCGCCTGGCCCAGGAGACCTATGCTTTGATGAGTGACAATTTGCTGCACGTGCTAGGGGACCCGACCCTCTACCGGCAGCTGAGTGGAGCTGACCGGGAGCGCATCCTGAGCCTTCGGACTGGCAGGGGCCGGGCTGTGCTGGGCGTCCTTGTGCTGCCCAACCTCTACCAGGTGAGCCGCTCAGGGCTCCCACGGGGCTCCCAAGCCGAGGAGGCTCCTGCCATGGGTCCTGCATCCCTGCCTCCTCCATCGCACCTGCATGTGTTCAACCCCCAAGAGAACACGTGGCGGCTTCTGACTCAGGTGCCGGAGGAGGCCCCGCTGCGAGGCTGCAGTCTCTGCACCATGCACAACTACCTGTTCCTGGCAGGGGGCATCCGTGGCTCTGGCGCTAAGGCTGTCTGTTCCAACGAGGTCTTCTGCTACAATCCTCTGACCAACATCTGGAGCCAGGTGCGGCCCATGCAGCAGGCCCGTGCCCAGCTCAAACTGGTGGCCCTGGACGGGCTGCTCTACGCCATCGGGGGCGAGTGCCTGTACAGCATGGAGCGCTACGACCCCCGCACAGACACCTGGACCTCACGCGCGCCCCTCCCCGCAGGCACCTTCCCTGTGGCACATGAGGCTGTGGCCTGCCGTGGGGACATTTATGTCACTGGGGGCCACCTCTTCTACCGCTTGCTCAGGTACAGCCCTGTGAAGGATGCATGGGATGAGTGCCCCTACAGTGCCAGCCACCGGCGTTCCAGCGACATGGTGGCGCTGGGGGGCTTCCTGTACCGCTTTGACCTGCTGCGCGGTGTGGGCGCGGCTGTGATGCGCTACAACACTGTGACGGGCTCCTGGAGCCGAGCTGCCCCCTTGCCCCTGCCAGACCCTGTCCCGCTGCGCTGCACAGTGCTGGGCAACACCATCTACTGCCTCAACCACCAGGTCACTGCCACCTTCACAGTCTCTGAGGGGACTGCCCAGTTCCAGGCCAAGGAGCTGCAGCCCTTTCCCCTGGGGAGTAAAGGGGTCCTCTGTCCATTCATCTTGACTCTACCCCTTGAGGACCAGCTACAGACTTCTCTCTGAGCTGCTTGGGGCCAGGACTGCAGCTGCTGCTCTCCGGGCAGTACCTGGGCTGGACTGTGAGTTGGGTGGGGCACAGGGAGGTGGCTGTTCTTTCTGGGACAACTTCCCTTCTGTTTTAATAAAGCTTCATGCTCTCTCCTCCCCCCTTTCTCCTCCTTCGATAGAGCCCAGGCTCCCTGCATCTGTGAGCTGGTCTCCGGGGGTCCCTACCACACCCATGCACCTCCTGCCTGTGTAATTGAGTCCTTGCACCAGTGCCTCAGCTGGCTCACAGGAACCCCCCTCGGGGCAGGGGACTCCCACGGCCCAGGTTCCCATGTCACCGCACCAACAACACTGCCTGGAAATAATCTGCCAGGGACCCATGGGTTCCTGAGAACTTGGACTTGGCTGGCTGAAGTCGGCAATTGCTGAGCCCAGGAAGGCGATGGCTTCCCTAGGGCTCAAAGCTAGGCTAGGGGCCCTCAAGGGGCTGGGAAGAGGGAATGGGGAGCAAAGTCGTCCCTGGGAGAACACCTTTGCCTCTGGGATTTTCTGCCCATCCTGAGGCCTCGGGGAGTCTGGCTTGGCTGTCTGCAGAAACAACTCTTAGCTCTCCCTTGTCTGGAACCCCATCTGTGACACTGCTCTGTGATCTGTAGCCCCTGCCCATAACCCCAGCCTAGACCTGGCCAGGACTGCTGGGCTCATGCCCCTCTGCAGCCTTGTGGGGTCTCTCCCACATGCTCAGGCCCTCCACTTCCCACCCCCCTTCCTACCAACCCTCTTTTTAAATGAGACCTGGGCTGCGCCCTAGCTCTGCCCCTTATTAGCTGTGTGGATTTGGGTGAGACATCTAACTTTGTCTTCTCATCTGTGAAGTGGGGATAATGGACATGTCACTCAGGAGAACTGTGAGAATATAGGTCATATATATGAGCACCTGGCACAGCCCAGGAAGGTAAATAAATCTGAGTACGGCTGCCCGTCCCCTCCTCTGACCTGGTTTGTTCCTGGCTTGCTTTTTGCTTTTTATTCTGTACTTGGCACTACATATGCTTAATTCACTGCCAGCATCTGCATCTTACACGTCGCACGCCCTGTTCATAAGGTGTCACACGCAGCTGGGGGACAGAAAGCTCAGGATGTGCTTGAAAATAAGTGTATTGAGAAACAGGTGCTGTGCAGGCAGCTGTATGTTTGGGTCGCTGTTTCTCTGCCAGGCAGAGAAGGCTCCACCCCCATGGCACTGCGCACAGGCAGACACAGGGGGGCAGCTGTAGGGTCAGGGTGGGGGACCTACTGCATGCGCTTGGTCTCACTGAGCAGCTCTTGCCAGTTCTTCTCCATCTCTTCCTTGCAGTTCAGGAAGGCGTCCTCCAGCCGGCGCATGGACTCTGCCAGGGTGGGGTTGGTGCGTATCACCACCATGTCGTAGGCCATCCACGTGGCCTGCACTGCAACAACCAGACAGGCCCTAGTCAGGCTACAGGGTGGGGTTGTGGCTCTGGGGCAACCCTGGGACCACACCCAGCTGAGTCACCCAACTATTCTGAGAGAAAGCTGGTCAGCCACTTGATATGGGGCTCACAAAACCCTCTATTAACACTCCTCCCTGCCCAGAGCAGTACTGAAGCTTCCCTAATCTCACACAAATCTTAACTTCTGGATATATCAGCCTGTGACACTAAAAGGCTGCAGGCCAGTCTGATATGAAATGTTAGGAAAAACTAGAGCAAACACATGTCCTTACCTACCCACAGTTCACAGCTAGTGATTGTAGGGTGACCATCAAGGAGTCATAACACTCACCAAGCTCACAGGCTCAGGTAGGGCTGACCACTCCCATTCCTGAAAGGTCCTGAGCCTCATGTTTCCTCGTGCTCAGTAGCCTTGGATGCCTGTCCACCTCCACCTGGGCACCTCTCTGCTTTCATTAAGGCCAGTCCAGAGCTCCTCCTCTGGGAAGGTTTGCTGCACCCCATGTTAGGTGTCCTCTGGTGCTCACACGGCACTGACCACTTCCTTTCCCTTTCCCTTTGAGAGCAACTTAAGGGCAGCGTCCCTGGGCCTATAGGTGAACATGTGCTGCTCATACCAAAACCCCACCCTCCACAACCTTCTCTCTACAGCACCCAACCCACTGTTGTGGCTCTGCCCTCGAGAACTACAAAGAACAAGGATCCCAGCCCTTCTGCATGACAGGCAGAAATTGTTAGAAAAAGTATGAGCAGTATCTCAACAGACAGACACTCTTACTGTATAGCAAGTGCAGGAATTCTTGAACTTTTGGAAGCAGGGGAGTCACTTGGGACACCTGGTAAGATGTAGACTGTTGGTCCCTCCTACAAGTCAAAGGTTCCTGTCTAGCAGGTTGGGAACGGTGCACAGGAATCTGCATCTTAACAAGTATCTGGATAATTCCGGTGCCCCAGGGGGAGGGGCATGGCGAGGGGGCTGCCGACCACACTTTCAGACCAGCTGGACAGCAAGTGGAGCATGGTCTGGGAGTCTGAGTTTTGTCATCTCTCTAGTTGCTGGCTGTGTGACCTGAAACAAGTGATTTAAACTTGCTCACCTCAGCCTTCTCATCTGTAAGGGAAAGACAACATCCCTATCTCATGTCTCCCCCTGAAGATTAAATGAATGGCAGTAAACTGCCTAGCAGAGATTAGGTGCTCAAGAAAGAAGAAACTCTTACTATAAAATAAATAATTGAGGTATTTAGGGCAAAGAGTTAGGGTAGGTAAGAAATTAAAATTCGGGAGGAAAAACAGCTCTCAGGAATGAATCATATAATCCTACATAGCAGCTGGACTTCCAGCTCTGAGTTTCCTAAGGCCAAAGCAGAAAGGAAACATGATCAGTTACAAGACTCAGTGACCATAAAATAAAAACAAACCCATTGTTTAAGACACTTTTATCCTAAGAAAAAAATGTCCTATAGGTATATTTTATGAGAAGTGTAATGTAGTTACACTTAATGTAGAAAAATGCCCTTGATGATGTCCCTACCTTACACACAAAGTGATTCTTCTGTGTCTGTAGCTGTAATCACAGGTGGAAGAAAGCTGGTGGCATACCACCAAAGCACAGTTCAGAAAAGGCAATTCAGTGAGACACTGAAACGCTACAGCAAGTGTACAGCCCTCTTCTGATTTGATCCAAGGAAAAATATTTAGAATGCACAGAACAGGAAGGACTCGATCACCCTCGAACACCCTCTAGCAATATATGTCTCTGGAGTTTTCATTTACTCTGTATACTGAGCACCTCCTTTGTGCTCTCATTTCACTAGGGCAGCCCAGGCGCTACAGCAGCATACAGGAGAGACACTCCCCTAACCTCATGCAGTGTCTGTACTAGTTGCAGTGGGAGGAACCAGATGCTGAGCAGGAAATAAGCAGTACATGTTGAGACTGATAAATGGAGAAGAGTCATATTATAAACCAGCTGGTGAGGTCAGGCCCCCTTGGTGGATTTTTCGTTAGGCCTGTGCAGTAGCAAAGCCAAGGTTATAACCTGTGGAAAGGCCTGTACAGCAGGTATTCTGAGAGGCTAATCAGGACTCACCTGTACACTTTGATAACCCACCAGGTAAAGCCAAGGTCCTCACATGGAATTTAAGAAAAACGGTCAAGCCCGGCCGGGCGTGGCTCAGTGGTTGAGTGTCAACCTAGGATCCAGGCAATCGGGGTTCGATTCCCAGTCAGGGTACATGCCCGGGTTGCGGGCTCGATCCCCAGTCGGGGGGGCATACAGGAGGCAGCTGATCATTGATGTTTCTATCTCTCTCCCTCTCCTTTTCTCTCTCTGAAATCAATAAAGATATATTTTTTAAAAAAAGAAGAAAAAATGGTCAAGATGTGTGCTGTGAACCCTAAGGACTAAGAAGGGCTNTTCAAAGATGGAAGAAGATCTCTGATGGGACTGCTTATATGTGGGAGAAATAGGGAAATGGCCAAGAGTGTGTGAACCCTGAAGACTAAAAAGGCCTGCTGGTGGCTAGCTGGGTTAAAAAAAAAAAAAAAGCAGAGCCTAGCAGCCATTTCTGCAAAGAGGTCCCTCATGTCAAGCAGAAGCCTCTGCACAGAACTGCCTGCCTGCACTTGTTTCTGCCCGTGGAGCCATCCTTATACAGGACTTCCTGGAATCCGGTTTCAACCAATAGGCCTAAGGCTTCCCCATCCACTCAGAGCTGCCGCAAGCTCTGACCAATGGGATGGATTTAAATACTACAACAAAACAAGTTAGAATCTCTTTGTACCCAAGGAATTTTATGTTCTTAAGGCTCACTTCCATAAGGCATACTACAGCTAAACCTGTACTAGGAAAATTGTCCTAGGTCATGCTTTGACTTAAGTTCAAGAGAATGGAAATAGAATTTTAAGCCTTGAAGTGAAGAGAATTTTGCCTTTTAATATTGCTTAAAATATATACCTTATATTTATTTTATGGTTGGTGGTTTTAACAGTTGTTGACAATTGCTTTCTTGGTTGTTTTCTTTGCCCTGTCTGGTCACTGAAGCAACTGGACAAAAACTTTCCCTGAGGCAACAAAGGCCAAGTGGACTTCACTTTAAATTTAACCTAAAGGGTCAGGATGAGAGATTATATCATCGTGGTCCAAAATTACGCTACTTCTGCTAACAATATTTGTCCTAACTTGTCCCAGGGACACTATGAAGAAACAGATGTGCTTCTTACCCTTTAGGTAGAAAAATATTTTAATGTTGCCATTTACTGGATTTGAGTCCATGGGCCCAAAAACAGAGTTTGCTTAAGAAATTACAAAAGGCAAATTATACAAAATATTTTAATATTATTTAATTTTTGGTTGCTTATATATTAAAAATATACTTTTACCAGCTGATAAAGTATTAAATAAATTTTTAAAAAGACTTCTATTACCCTGCAAATTAGACAACTATGCAGAAGATTTATATAAAAATAGAATTATAAAGAGGAAAATATGTAAAACAAAAACTAAGGAAGAATCAGCTAAAGGGGAAATAATGGACCTTATTCAAAGGATGAATGTGGAAAAGACCAAGGGGGAGGATGTGGAATCGTGCACAGCAAAGCATCTTTTGTGCCATGTAGACGTAGGCTAGACTTGTTTATTCCTGTGAGAAAGGAAGGGCACAAGCTTCCCAGGAGTGTAGCTGCTTAAATACAACTGTTGTATGTATCAGACAACTTTAAGCTTATTTAGAAAGCTTAAAAAACAAATTTAAAAAATTGTCGAAGCCGAGCCTT